AGGAGTTCCAGCGCAGACCTTTGTCATCAATATATTACAAGTTTAATCGGGATTTTGCTACTACTTTTGGTAAAAGTGCAGCGAAACCCGTTCCCATTTTCTTAGGATTCTATATAAATTAAATTGGTATTCAAATTAGTAAGTACTGAGAATTTGTTTGTCATTATGTTGAGGTACAACTAATAGATAATTGGCAACACCTTTAAAATTCCTTATGGCACTTTAAATTCACCTTTTAGATATTATATCTATATCTATCTATCACTTCAAATGCAAAGGTAGAAAACCATTCAAAAATTTATTGTACATTTTTCTTTGATTCGTTTTGAATTGGATTTGTTCTGTAACTTATAAATTGCCCCTTCAGAATTGTAAGTGGAGATTCTCATCCATGACCTTTTCCTGTATAACCAGTGATTCTTAATTAATCCCAAAACTCTTCAACTGGCACATCCTTTCACATTTGAGACCTTCTGAATCGTGTCCAGTTGAAGAGCCACTCAATCGCGAACTGAGGCTCGTCTCGCCTTCCGATTGAGTGCGGAGTACCAAAAAAAAGGAGAATTTGCATATTTTATTAAATTCCCGCACAAATATCCAATCAATAATGTAGTATGCCATTCGCCGTATCCGGCTATCCCCGACTACTCCCTTTCACCCTCGCCATTTGAGTACGGCCCAAAACCAGAGGCAAAGCCGTGGCAAATTAAGTATGCATACGTATTCAAATGGCTCACAAGCCGAAATATACACAGAGATATTGAACGAGAAGATGAGGAGGGAAAAGTTGGGAGAGGATGGAGGGGAAGCATCGGCTGTATGCCCAAGAGGAAGATTTTTGGTTTTTTCCAGATCCGCACCTCCGGACTCCCTGATTCCCATACCATCGCTTCCAGCTTCTTTGTGGGCAAAGGCAAATCATTAAAGACGTCAATTCTACCTCTCATCTCCGTTTTCCACTCGTTACTGCACAGAGAAAAATATCAAATCAATAATACAGGTTCAAATTTGAGATTTATTGTTTTATCATTTATCAAATAATCAGTGCAAGTGTATATTTTCCTCAGCTTTTATCTATCGTGACGCAGAAATGCTTAACATATTGATAAGAAACATATCGTGCTACTATATTTTTAATACCGCTGGCATTTTATCGTTCTGATAAGCTGGTAAATATTAAAACAGATTTGAAAACATATTGTAAAAAAAACATGATATGTTCATGTGTGTTTTAATCTGATTGCATTTTCAAAACTAACATTATAAAATAGCAGAAAGAAAACTTTAAGTACATAATTAATTTAGACCATTTAACGATATTTTTTGTAGTGTGCCCTTTGGCCTTTTTCTTTTATTTGGCTTTTGTTTCTCTGGTTTGTCGCCACGCATGAAATTTGGCACACTATCGAAGGGGGATGTGTATGATAAGCAATTTTTTCAAGAGTGGTATTGGGTAGGAGATGCAAATGAATACAAACAAAATACCGCAAGCAGAAAAGATTATGCCTGGCATAAAAATAAATTAATGGCCGTGGCGTGTGTGTGATTGTGAGTGTGTGTGGAAAGCAAGGACAAAGTAATGCCTCGCCTTAGGGGGTGTTGTAATAAGCCAGGACCCTCGCCCTCTTTTCCCTTACCCCGGCATTTCATTTTTTTTTCTCTTTATAATTTACTATGCGTAATTTCCTCGACTGCTTTCATACGTAAATATTTAATTTCCTTAATTTTGGAGGGCTCTATTTAGGGGGGCACCCCAGACTGCTCTAAGTTGCCTTGTTGGCTAGCTTTTTATTTCATTATTTATTGTTTTGCATTTCATCGCCAGGGCTTTTATGTTTATTGCTCTTTGTGCCAGCCAAAGTCCGTTTCGAGCTGGGCACACGCGGCGTATGCGCAACTCTCTTAGCACTCCATGAGTTTTGGGAAAGTTAAGTGTGCAAAGTGCTGTCAAAAGTTAAGATCTCGACACTTTCGCTCGTTATTTTGCTGCTGTGTTCTTTATAGTTTTTTAAAGTTCATAAAAGTTTAAGATGTAGGATCCGCAGTAAAATTATATTGGAAAGCTACAGCTTTATTTGTTTGTTGTTATTTAAAGCATACGGACTTTTTAAAATTGAAAAATCGTAACAATAATATAACACATGATTTATTACTCCTCTTAATGTTAAAAGCTTTAAATAACGAATTAATGTTAGAAAAAGTATTGTTCATTTGTACAAGTATAATAAAGGGTACTGCTCCTTTTAATTATTAATTCATTTTTTATTTTTAAACGAAATAAGTGAGTGCAAAATACATTTAGTTTTCAAGCACACTGACTCTTTTTCGATTCCCTGTCAAGGACATTTTGAATTGTTTCATTGCTCAAGAACGCTGAGAGTCCTGCGAAAAAGATTTGCACTTAAGTGCGAAGAAGTGCCGAAGACGAAACTTTTGCACGCTATTTTTATTAGTGCCAAAAAGAAAAAAAAATAAAGTTGAAAGTGCGCAGAGCATTTTTCTTGATTTCCATTTTTGAACAGTTTTCCCCCACATTTTTTTGAACTTAACTGAACTGAAACTAAACTTAAACGCATTGGCATCCGTTTCTGGTCGAAAGCGGTTTACTGCTGAAGAAGAAAAAAACTTAAATAAAGTGGAATTACTTGTTTCAGGAGCAGCTGAAAAAGAAGGGCAAGAATATCCAAGAGTTGACAGTCGAGTCTATACCAAAGAAGTATTTTGCATATTCATTCTTCGTTACTTTGTCGCTACTTGAAAATTGCAATTGACGGGCCAACTCTCGAGTCGCAGGAAAAGTTTTCGGTCCAAGAACCCCATCGCAACTCTCTTCTGTAATAGTTTCCAGGCTTTAGACTTGCTTTCAATTAATTCTCCCTTAATAACAGTTCATTGCAGAACTTGTAATATGCGTATTACACTTTTGCCCTGAATAATTCAATAAATATTTTCATTTCCAATTATGGCAAATGGCGTAGATTTTCTGGGGATTTTCCTGGTCATTAAAGTTTTCCTTACCCGAATTAATTGCCGCTAAAGCTTGGCGAGAACGAAAATATTATTTTATGTATTTTTTCGTATGCCAACGTTGATATTAAGAAAAGTTTGCCAAAGAGGCGTGGCTTTTGGATGGTTCGTTGGGTGTTGGCGTGGGCTGTTCCACTAATGAGCCTATTGTTTGGCAGATAAAACGTGGCTAAGTTCGGGCTCAGCGGAACAGGAAATAGCTGTTGTTGCTGCCGAAGTTGTTGGCATTAGCAAAAGGGTTGAGCTTCGGGGCTGGAAAACTTTGGTGCCAATTGAAGAGAGCTGATTCAGAAGTTGGTTGGACTAAAATTTGTAATTGGCCAAAAAATGAAAACAGAGAGAGCATTGAATATGGGTTTCAAAAGATTTCTATTTTAGTTTTACAAATCAGCATAGCCGCAAATAGTTTTTGGATAAATGACTGTTAACAGAAAATTCGATATTCAGAACCATGACCAACCACAAGAATAAACCAGATTGAAGAAAGTGTTTTGTTCTAAAAGTTTTGATGTTAATTAGTAAGCAAACTAAATAAATAAATAAGAACTAAACAAGTTTGAGTACTTAATTATTTTCCTTTCAATACTCTCCTGAATATTTAATTTTCATTTTCCCGCAAAACGCATTTCATAAAAAAATACTTTCACCACCACATAACAAATAGTTCTCTGCCCCATAAATTTTGTGTTTAAGGTTTTCTTTTGAGCTTTATTGCCTCTCATAAATGCAGTTAATTGTTTTCAGCTAAATTACAATTAGTTTTTATAAACTTTTCAACAGCTGGCAAAACAATTTGCCCTCTTCCATGTCTATCCTCATTTGGACTCCTTCTCCACCCATCCGAAATTTCTCTGCCTTTTCCTTAGTCTGTGTGGTCCTTGGCGATCTCCTTTAAAACAAAAACGAAGCTGAAATTGTAATTAAATTTTTGCCAATTCGTTTAATTGAGTTTTAAGCCACAACTTCTGAATGCCCGAAATTGAAAGTCTCCTCCCATCCACAGCCACTTTTTCAACCACTCCCTCTGGCAGACTGCTTAAATATATTTTTGCCTGAGGTTGGCTTGGTTGTGGTTTTTATTATATTTTTTGTGCATATTTTACGACCGCTCCTGTGACTGTTTGCGCTGTAATTAAGTGCGTCTAATTTGTGTTAAGCGCTGTGCCACTTGAGCAACGCTTTTATTTTTCTTCCTCCAAATTTATTTTTTTAACCCGACCTTGCTCCTGTGTGCTTAACCTAAGCCCAGACGTTCCACCAAGCCAACAGTAGCTGGAAAAATTTGGAACACTAATTTCGGAGTGGGTAAAAAGCAGTCTGAACTGGGCTTTAAAGGTTGTCTGGGTACAAACTGCCGCTAAATTGCCACTTCCCCTGGGAATTTCATGCCTTTTTTTTGTGAGATGGAGGCAGACGAAATAAAACATTTTTTGAGTGATTTCTGTATGTGATTCCGGTAAGCTTCGAAGAACTTTGGAGGAGAATTAAGAGCTAAATTGCATGAAAGCAATAATGTCAGAATATATATGAAAAGGTATTTGATATATTAAGAAACAAATAAAAGTGATTTTGAAATTGAGAGTCGTTGCTAAATCACTATCTTTTGATTTCTGTTTCACTTTTGGTTGACAGAACCTTTAAAAGTATAGAAATCATTTGTTAATTTAATCTATAGTTAAAGTCATCAGTAAGTCTACATTGTAGAATTTTCGTAAAAATATTTGGTTAAGTATTACTTTCCTAATTACCTAAATCTCTCAAATGGCTTTAGCTTTTTTTATTATTTTACCTTTACTTTTTAAGCCATCTGTTTAATTTTATCTCATCATGCTGCTGTGAATTACAACTTTTTCTGCCTTCGCTAATTTAAGCCCTTCGTAATTAGCCCCTTTTCTATGTCATTTTTTAAGCTATTTCTTTAATCTGCAACAGTCTTTATTAATTACAGTTCTTAACTTTTTCTTTTTTCTTACCTCGTTTCTTGGGCTTCCATTTATTAATTCACCAATTATAAAGTTTGTTTAGGTTTCACACTTTGCACTGGGAAAACACTTTCTGTTTTTTTTTATTTTCCTTGCTCACAAATAATTGTATTTCCGTCTTGTTTATTCACACACTTTACCGGCAACTTGCGGTAAGAATTTCGTCTCTTTTTTTGGTATTTTCTTGGGTTTGATATTGTTGTTTTTGGTTGGGTTTTAACCACGATTGCAGCACTCGGATTTGGCTGCTATCGTTACGCGTCCGAATCGGTAACTGCTCGAGTTTTTATCAGTGCGCTCCGTTTATAAGGAAACCCCGAGTGGAGCTTTTCCGAAGAGCTTTCCCGCTTTTCCTTCGCGAGCGAACCAACAAAACGAGCGAAAGAGAGAATTTTCGACCAATTTACGAGATTCGACCAATTCCTTGCCCTCTGTTTACCGTCAATTGTTTTAAGTGCAACATATCGAAGCAAAAGCCAAACACAAACCTTTCACATTCTTGGCAGTTTGTGTTCCATGCTTCCTGGAAAAATCGGAGGCAAACAAAGTGCAAGAAAAACTGCATGCAAATCATTTCTCGCTTATAAATTATGCAGGTGCGAAGAGCAAACAGTGTCTGCCAAAAAACCGAAGGAGAAAAAGTGCGGTAGCCACAAGCACTCGAGCAAATAAACTTCGATTTATCTCGACGTGAGTTTTGGTTTTGGCGGTTCTGTGTTGGTAGTTTCGATGGTCGAATGTTTGACCAGTGATACCTTATTTTTTAAAGATTTTTTAAGGTGCAATAACAAAGATCACATAAATTTGCAAACTGTATAATTTTCTTATCGAGTTGGTCAACAGCAGAATTTTGAGTACTAAAACCAATTTAAATAGAGTTAAATAAATGTTCTGCCTACACAATGTGATTTTATATTGATCAAATAAAATAATTTAAGTTTTATATTTATACTCTTACTTAAATATATTAGCATAAAACTTATTTTTTTTAGTTGTTAAAATATTTGTAGAGTATGTGCTGGGTTTATGAAGGCTGCATTGATTTTAAATTACGAATTCAATTGATTTACATTCAGAAAATACCTGGAAACGTAGAGTTCACTTAAAAAACGAATTATTTAAGGCACACATTTCCTTCTGGCTCTGAAATTCATCGTTTCAGTGTGCGTTTTGAGCGGAAACGGAAATGCCGGCCATGGCAGAGCAAAAAGTAAACCAACATGATGGAAGGGCCAGCGTGTTTTGCCTTTGGCGATTTCGATTCGGCCTCGGTCCAATGTTCTTACTGGCTTTCTTCTTGTTTTTTTGTCTGTGTCCACTATGTCTGTGTCATATGCAAATTCCGATTCTAGGAAACAGAAGAAACGAAAAAAAAGATAAGGTCAGAAGAGGCAGACGAGCAGGGAGCGGGGAATATAAAAATCGATTAGTTAATATCAAACTAGCTGACAGGCTGACAAGAACCTTAAGGCGGCATTGAACTTGTCTAGCCAGAGGGAGAAAGAGCGAGTGTTTCCGGCCAATTCCCTCTCTTTTGAACAATAACCACCCCACCCATACAAGCACAACAACAGCCTTTGCATGATTTAATTATTTGTAGCATACTTTTGTGCGCCGACCAAAAACTTCACACCTGAATGCACAACGGAGTGCAAAACTTTTGCCACTTTTGTGCAAGGGCCGGCAGTTGTTGTTGAAGGACCAACCTCTGCGGTTTTCGGGCCAAGAATTCGGGTTTTTCTATGCCAGCCCCGAATGTCTCAATTCATTTTACGCCCCACTGCGGCTCAAGTGGAGCGCACCATGCAAAAAAGGGCTGCCAATGCGGGTTTCATGCCAAGGGTTTCGATACCCTGTATTCGAAAAGTTCGAGGCTGTATTGTTTCTAATGAATTTAAGTAAGGGGCAGAGGATAACGATCTCTTAACGTAACTGAAAGTTGGTTAGTTTCAGCTATCATGATTTTTGTTTTATGTTTTCTAACCTTCAAGACAATTAGACAGATTATTTTTATTTGTTACTCCATATAAATACATTTTAAATCTAAGATTTGGTTTTCGACAATGAAGATATATAACTTCATAAAATTATTCCCAAGTATAGGTGTTTTTTACAAAATGCTGTCATTGATGAAAAATTGTATATTGTAAATAATAATATTAAATATTATTTTTTTTTTACAAAAGGCCAACGAACTTACTTTATTTACCATTATAATTTAATGTGCCTTAAAGTAAAAGAAATTTTAGCACCGGGTATCTTGAATTCGATTTAATTTACCGAAGGGTTATTTCTTGGTTTGAAAAGGTTCGGGGTGCCATTTGGGACCAAAAAATAAAACAAAACAAAATTTGTGGGTGGCGGTAAAAGTGCAAGCAATGCAGAAAAGGACTTTGGCATCATTACAATTTGTTGATTTGCTTCGTTAAACAGCAAACAACACAGGCGAAAAGCGGAGGAGTGAAAGTGCGGACTGAAATTGAAACAACAGCGACAGTTGAATGAATCAGGAGAGCATAAAGACCCAAGAAATGAGCGCTAAGTCAGCCCTGGGCCAGGCTTCTCATCTTGCTTTCAACGTCTTTTTTGTGTTATTCAAATGGCGGCTGCATTGTTGCTTATTTGCGAAAAACCAAGCGCGAAAAAATGAGCAAAAATGAAAACATAAAAAAACCCAAAGGCGGCAAATAAACAGTGGCGAGAAAATGAAAACCGACGAGGATAACTGACAAGGCGCTGAATTGGCGACGTCGCCTTCAAAGGCGTCGCCCTGGGCCCCAAAAATTTTTATCTTTTCTTTAAAAAGCGAGGACGATGTCTTTAAAGAAGGTTGGATTCCAAGGAGTTCGGATGCTGGAGGTTGCATTGTAGCTTGCAGCTGTGAAATGGTGGCAAGCAATCTCCTCTGACAGAACATAAGGTATTCTGTGAGGGGGTTTCTAAGAATATTTCGAATGGCGTGCAGATTTCTTTTGCATATGCAAGGTTTTCTTTGAATGACGTACAGATAAAATTCTGAGATTTATCTATATTTATAACATTCATTTCTTGGAAATCATAACAATACATGAATTTAAATTTGTATTAACTGGAGTTTTCTAGAATATGTTTATTGATGCTGAAAGAAAAACGTTTCAAACTATATATAGTCTATGTTTTTTTTAAATAAAACAACAAACTAAATAAATGTATATCCAAATAAAAAACATTTCTCCTAATTTATACAATATTTTTTTTATTTTTTCTTTTACTTACACTTAAATGCAAAAATCCAATTAAGTGTAAAGATATACGGGCTCTCTCAAGGAAAATAACTAGTTTTCAAAGCAGTTACAGTCTCGAGTTGACGCAAAATTTATTTTTATTTGTGAGCAGCCATTAATGTTAGCTTGTTACATTTAATCAGCTTGTAAACTTTGTTTCCTCAAAACGTTCCTGTGTTTCTCCATTTTTGGGCTGACTGCTTTTTGTTTCGTCCCTTTCGATCTCCTCCTCTAATTGGCCTTATCACTTCTGACCCTCTTTACACAATTAGATTTATTTGCAAATTATAAGTTGAATTGCATGGCCTGCCATCATAATTTCTTTTTACGAGCCACCGCCGCTGGTTATGCAATAAAAACGTACCAACTTGGCAGCGCGCCTTCGAGGCATAATTTATTGCATAATTTTTGGGTTGAATAATTAGCATTTAATTTTAGATTGGTTACAAAAAGTGCGAGCGAAGAGAGATAAAAAAGGTTCATTGGACGGCTCATTAAATTAGTAAGCGGATGTGCCTTAGATTTGCGTTTTTTGATATACCCAAGCTTCGGGCTGAGCTTTAGATACGAAGTCCACCCGATTTAATAGCATTTCTAATGAGTTTAATTTGAATATCAAATTATATGGGGAATTTTAAAGTTTGACTGCTGGCTTCTAATATTATAATTTCTCTAGGGGGTGTGCAACTGCTGAGTTGATAGAAACATCATTGCATGAGACTTATAGCCTCTGGGGACAATATCGAGCACTGGAAAAAGTAATTATCCCCTGGTTAGACATGTTAATTGGTTAGTGTTGCGGCATCCATAAGTTCTGGACTTTCCGATTAGCTGATGGCATTTCTCTATACAAATTAGCTTTTAGCTTAAGTGCTCATCGATGGCGATGAAAATTGGGTTGGTCAGACCGGAAGACAGTATTGCAATTTTCGCAATTGCACAGTGGTTTAGAATGGCTTAAATATTTTATTTAAGTCTTAAAAATAATGTAAGTATTGTTTAAGAAATATAAATAAAATATAGACCGACAATTAAATATTTTCATACGTAAGGAAAGATGAAACATCAAAGAAAATTGTGGCCATAAAATATTAGCTTTACATTTACCATAAAATAAGGATTTAGTATTCTTTGTAATACAAAATACTAGTTTTCATATTAAGTTTAACACCCAATTCTTTTTAAAAAATTTAAAAGACTTGCGTGATCGCAGGAAAAGTTAAATTGTGAGAGCCAAATTTTACATTCAATCGAGCCAGTATATTTGTTTTTCGCAACTCTTTACCAACGTGTTAGCAGGACAAGCCTCTTTCTGAGCCACATGAAATGGCCAAAGTAAACGCTCTTTGATCGGCAAATAACCAACTTCCGCAATAAGCAAGTGTTAGGAAAACTTTTCCCAGCAGCAGCAGCGTTTGAAATCGACAAATGATGATTAGCACATAGCGTCAGCAGGTGTTGTTGTTTCTTACCGCTATTTTCTGTTTTGGCCGACACGGACACCACCACACACATCTATATACATGGTCTAAGATGGGCGCATTCACGTTCGTGATCGGCATGGGCACTACAATATTTTGAGTTTCATTTTCAGTTGTTGAACAGAGCGCGAGCGAATAAGACACACGCGGCTAACAAAAAGTGCACAAAGTAGCTCAGAAAAGTGGGGAGAGTGAAAAGTGTAAGCAGCTAAAAACAAATAGAGAAAAGTGCAAAAATTGAACAAAATTAATTCGACCAATTGCAATGTATTTTTATTGTATATTGATTCTCCCCTTTAATGTGTTTAACCCGTGATCGACCCTTTTCATTATACAACCCCATGCAACATAAACGTCCGACAGTGTGAACATGTAATGAATAATTACTCTTTTCATTTGTTGATGCCGAAGCAATCAACATGAATTAAAGACAAGTTGAAATGCATTTGACTTTAATTGAAATTCCTCTAAACTATTCAATCAAGGGCAATGTCAAGGCCAATTTGAAATTCTATGAAGTGTTATGATTGTCTAGGTAGCAGGGTAGTAAACCTTTTTATAACTCCTTAATTAAAAATTATAAAGGAATAATTGAAAAAAGTGTTTTTCCGTGCATAAAGTTATTAGAATTTAATCATAATAGTTGGTTAATTTGAGTGCCAAGTATATAACCCTATCCAACATGGTTGTTTACAGCCAAAAAAGATATTAACTCAACCTAAATAGATTTTTCACTGGAAGTTTGAACTTCACACAAGTGATTCTGCGTACTTACAAAATGGTATTGGCTTAATTAATTTCAACTGGAAAATATGCGATAATTTGGAGTTTAAACATCTTATCGTACAAGCAAAATAATTACATTCCTATTTAGATAGCATTCCTAAATGTCTTGTCTTGACACATTGTCTAATGAATTGCTATCTTTAGTGAGCGAAGACGGGAAAATTGTTTGCATTCACAACTCACTTTGCGAAAATTCCTCTTGCGTATTTCAGACGGGAAATGATTTGGTTTGTCGACCAGAAAACAAATTACATTTTGCGGTCTGAGTTCTGAATTTGATTTTTTCCCAGGCATTGCATTTGTGTTTACATTTGATTTCACGTTATGGGTTCTATTTTATTTCGGTTTTGCAAGCATTTTCCGCTTTGCTCAATTTGTTAGCATTGCGTAAGGTCGTGCATTTGGCCATTCATTTTGCAGCGTTTTGTCTCGCCTAAATATTTGAGTTTTGTTACCCGCAAAAGCTCGGAAATATCTTGGCTAAGAGTCAGGGACGGTCACAAGATGACAAAAAAGCTGTAAGAGATAGATATAAATAAAAAATAAATAAAGAGAAATCCCACATTTATCAATGCTTCCATAAAAAATGTGCCAACAGCAAAATGTGAAACATTGTTCGTTTTTGGCCAATGTTAGCAATTCATTTCGACAATTCTCTGTTGTAATTTTAGAGAGAGAGTTTAACAACTGTAATAATATTTTTACGGAAATGTTTTTGTCGACGCATAAATATAAAATATTGGTTATGCTCAAATTGTTTTTAAAAGTAGAAATTTAATATTATTTTAGTGTAATTTGATACTCAAAAGTGGTTTCTCTAATGCTACGGAGGGTTCTGCTCATTTTGCACGATTTAACCATAGAGCTAAATTTAGTTTAATATTTGTACATTTTTATTTGCTGCTTATAACGTGCCAAAGCCATTTGCGAACTGTTAAAAAATCCAGGCAAAAATATATATACATACTTTATGCTTATACTTGTATGAAATATTTATGACGCTTATTTTCGCGGTTTGTTTTACGCATTTTAGAATGTGCTAAACACCGAAACAAATCCGCGAAATTTGTGCTAATTGCTGGAAAAAAATGATTTATGGCGGTTCTGTAAATTAATTATGAATGTGCTCTCTTTTCGTTGACTGATGAAATTGGATCGTCAGATGGTGAATTGTGATCTCTGGCTTGTTGGTGATAAGACATGATTCTACTTCACTTCCCCATCTCCGGATTTCGTTGAAGTCTGAGTCGAAATTGAGGTCAGACCGTGGGGACTTTGACACGTTTTTGGATCAGAGCTGAAGGTCGTTGGAGCTGCGAGATGTTGAATCATGTTTTTAGTGCGTTTACAGGTACTTTCAACACGGCACTGTATGCGTTATTACTGTGCAAAAATAATAAAACCAGTTTGGAAATGGACAATAACAAAGAGCTTACATAACGCGCAGTGTAATGAGGCAAGCTACTCGAAAAGTTTGTTTTAGTATGGCCGGTCTGATACCCGTCTATGCTTTCGAAAACCTGTTTACTATTTGGGAGTCCAAGTCGGTCTCTTTGTATTCAAAAACTGGACAACCTCTCTTCAATCGCCTAAGGCTTCAGTCACGTGCTCGTCTCCTCGTATTTTTTATGAACATCTGGGCTAGTTGGGACTTACGTTTCAGTCAACAACTTAACGATGTTGATATGCTCTTTTAATGGTTCAGCTAAATAGCGTTTGTTTTGAAATTTATAATTAGGGCTTGTTGCAATGGCGTAGGATTGTGTCTATTCGAGGTAGTAAGTGGGCAAAAATATATTAATTTGGCATTTTGTAATTATAATTTTATTTTATTAGGTTGAACCCAAACAATAGGTAAAATTCTGAAAAATAATTTTTGATTGATTTTTACATTTTACATTTCATATTTAACATTTTCTGATTTACTACTCAAAAGTTTAAAAATAAAATAAAGCTAAAATTAAACAATTTTCTTAATAGAGCATAAAAAAAAGGTTTTCGCAAATCTTGTCTTCATTTGTTTTTCAATGAATTATTCATGTCCACAGATCCATGAATTCGGTGACTGTCTGTGTCAGTGTTTTTTTGCGATCATTGTGATTTTTTATTGGTCTGATTGGGTTTGTGATCGTTTGGATACTGATATAAAAATCAAAAGAAACGCTTCCCTCTTCTCAGTTGACTTCGAACCTCCCAAGGTTGATTAGGATTCATGTAATTGCTAATGAGTAAAAGGGCCAAGAAACGATGTGTCATCGGAGTGTCTTTTCGCCATTAATTATTTAATGCGCTGATCTCCATGGAATCGTGTTTGAGAGTATTAACACTTCGTCTAGACTTTTGGTTAGCGTGAATTAAATATAATATAATATTCATTACTTCAAACAAACCGCGTCAAATTTGAGCTTGTCAAGTGCATTGCCTCGAATTCTGCAAATTCAAATCAGTTACCAACCAAAAAAAAACAAACTTCTCGCACTTTCACCTGATTCGGTAAATAACCCCTCTCTTTGTGATTTTTATTTTTCTTGACAGCACCTACACTGCGAATATATAACAGCTAAAGCAAACTTGTAGATACATTTATGAGTGCTAATAAAGTGTCAACTCTGTTAGTTGTGTGATAGTGTGAATAATGATAAAAATGTGAAGTAAAGTATTGTACCGCAAATAAAAGGAAAACCAGGAAGTATTGCACCAGCTTGCCCCACTTTGAATTTATCACCTTTAGTATAAAAGCCGCACAATGAATACCAGTGAGGACTATTTATCGATGGACCCGTCGGAGAAGATATCTCAGGTGTTAGATCAGCAGGAAAATAACACAATGAGCCCTCAAACACACCCAACAGTGAAAGAGTATTATGAAAGTGAGTATTAAAATTGAAAAATAGTTTACCTTAAACAATCTCTTATTATTTTTAAAATGAGTCTAATTAAATATATTTTAACAACGCCTTAGGTCACTGAAATACTTTGTTGCTAGCTAACCCCATTCTATAGTTCCAGCGAAACACAAACTTATTTACTTAACTAATTTTGCATTAGAATTTGTCATCTAAACGTATTAACACTTTTGCCAACTGCTACAGATACGTATATCAATAGACTTTAGAGAAATAATTATATTTTATAGGGTGTCCTAAATGACAGTTGAAAAGTTTCTTTATTAAACTTGTATAGAATAAATAAAAATGGTTAGCATTTGGTAATATATATTTCGGTAACAGTTAACATAACTAAATTTGGTAAAGTTAGTTTACTTAATAGAGAGTTCACCCTTGAGTTCTTTTGAGTAACCTGGAAAACTACAAAAATCACTTTTCCAATCCTCTTCTGCCAACTAATTGGATTTTCTCGGACTCACTTTCAGACATGACTGCCTTCCTCAGCCTGGCCATCTTCATAGCCAGTCTGCTGACCATCCTCAACATCTGCATCTTCTCCACGACAGTCTCACGGCTGCGTCGTCACCTGAACAAGCCGCTTTTGAGGCCCTCGATTATGATGGTCGGCCTGTATCCGATTATCTCGGTGGCTGCTTTGGTTACCATTCTGGTGCCCTACTCCTGGTTCATCTGCCACACGGTGATGCACGTGATGTTCATGGTCGGAGGACCTGTGTTCCGCACCCTGCTCTTCCGGTACGTAGGCTCTGAGCAGAATTATGTGAAGGAGTCGGGCGGAGAGGCGGTCCAGCTTAATACACCGCCCTGTTGTTGCTGCTGCCTCTGCCTGCCCATGGTGATTCCCACCAAGGCTAAGCTCTGCATCTCTAGATACATGGTATGTCGAGAAATAGGTGTTCAAAAGAAACACTTTCCTAAATAACAACTTTTATTTGAAGGTCTGGCAGATGCCCTTTTGGCAGGGATCCATCATGCTGGTCATGAACATCCTGTACTACCGGGACGTTCAACTATACCGCCAGGTCATGTACTTTTTCATCCCCTTCATCATCTGCTCGATTGTCATGGGGTAATTATTTTATTAAATTTTTTTAATCACAATTTCGAATTAAATTTATAAATAATAGAGTTTGGTCCCTTCAAATCACCGTGCGGATGATCACAAAACTTCACGGGGATTATCAGCTGAGGAAGAAGATGTTCTGCCTCCAGTTGGTGGTGATGCTATGCAAGTTGCAGTATTTGATCCTTTACGATCAGTTGGATGGCATCAAGATGGGCGGGGAGTATCCCATCAATCACACCATCTACAAGCAAAGTAAGTATCTGTTTATTCTTGATTTAATGATAGAGAAGTACTTCTGAATATTCAAGATCTTTCAAATTACAAAGTGTTTCTACAGAAGTAGAAAATATACAATTTTAAATTCATTTAAAAATCAATTCTAACTAAATTTTTTAATTTAAAATTTTTAAATTGAATTTAATTAATTTTTCATTTCTTTTAGCCATCATCAACATTCTGATCTTAGTGGAAATGGTATTGGTGTCCATGATGGCTCAGAGTGCTTATCGTATGCCCATTCAGGTTCAAATTGATGAGGTGAATAAAGAAAAGGAAGTCACTCGGATTTGAGTGATTTTTTGGCTGATGGAAAGTTAGTAGAAACTAGAAAGAATTGTGATAAATTTAATAAAGAAAATTTAGTTAAATTTAAAGAAACAGAATTTAATCAGAAAACTCGGTATATTTAAGAAATTTCAGTAAGCCAAGCCAAGTGTTGTGTGTAAATCAAACTCTAAGGGCAGAAAACACAACGAACTAAATCTCACTTGACTTGCTGGCTTAACAAAAAGCGCCACAAATCATGTGTTTCCAGCTCGAGTTGGTCAGATCTCGACTGGAAGAACCAACCATCCCACACCCATTTAGGAAAAGCGTGTCGCGTTTAGCTCATAATTCTCCCTGCGGCCTTTCAGAGGGTCGAGATCCGTTTTACATTTTTCAACAGAACGAACAAAACGGCGTGCGACTTAGGCCAAATGCCCAAGTGCCATAAAAATACAATAAATATAATATAAAATATCTGAACGCATATACATCTTCCTTTCTGTTTAGATAGCCTTTTTGGATGACTCAATTGCTGCCGCAGCGCGGCCATAGGCCAGTAGACATCGCAACTCAGGCTTGAAAATGCCATAAAAAAAACAGGAGAAATCCAGGAGAAGGGGAACAAATTATTGGTAGGAGTGGCACAATCTGAAGCTGTGTAGCAACATCAACAACAATTGTGTACTGCAAGGGAGTGCGTTGAAATTTATGATTTATTTGAAAAGAAAGTACATTGTGCTCTGCCAAAATAAATCACACTAAAGATGCTGGCAGCTCAAAAACCAAACGAAGTGGGTGGAGAGGAGGGTGAGGATTTAGTTGTTGTTCGCTTGAATGGTTGGAGGTGGACCAAGGCCGTCGGGCAATGAAAATCAAATATAGCGCAAGGAGGGAAATATTCACTAAGCTGGGAATACTCTTGATAGGACAGAGAATTTTATTAAAGTCCAGTGATGCTTGCGCAAGCATATTAAATTTTCCACAAAAGACCAAATCGAAAATTTTTAATATATTTGGTGGTTTTTTTGGTAAGTTTTTGGATTTGATATTAAAAAGGATTTTGTTATATTCATTTTAAAATAAATAAACCTACTTAGTGTTCTTTCTTGGCCATTTTTTTTGTTTATTTATATTAACCCGCTTTTGATATTTAAAATTAAATAAGGCACTGCAAATCATAAAATTTATGGATTCCCAAGGTTTCAAATGTGAAATCTAGAAATTCTATTTACATATATTTTAATGGCTTAAAACCTTTCTTCAAGAGTTATAAATAAAAAGTTTTTTATTTATAGATACTCAATACCCAGAATACAATAAAAGTATATATATTTTTTTGTTGTTTTGAAATGTATTTTTAAGTTAAGTCCTGTGTATATATATAAAGGGTATCCAAAGGTGGTCCTTGGAGTGGTAAGGGGATGTCGGTCGCCGAAGGCTTGGAGCAGTCAAGTGCCACGGTCGGTCGTCGCTGGGCATGGCTATCTTATCGCTCTTTTATGATGTACACAACGCCGCAGAACGGCAGCTAGGAGGAGCCCATGGCAGCCAAAGACCTCTCCTCCCTCACCATTACATTCCCCTCACCCCGCCCAGTTATCCACACTTGGCCTGGTCGAGATGTCGCTTTTTATGAAGACGCTTGTTTGCCCGGCTTGCCAGGGCCTCAGCTGCCATCCTGTTGGCTCAGACTTGACTAAGGCAAGTAAATCAGATTAAGTATCCGCTGCTCGATTTAAACGAACATTTACGCTATTCAATGCGGACTCTTGATTTTATATTATTACCTTTTGCCGCATGTGAGAAGTTGAGATTTGTAATTAACATTTGAAATAAACAATAAAAAATATAGAAATAAAACTTTGAGTAACAATTTTTCAATTTGGTAAAAAACAAAAATCAGCTTTATCTTTAAGATATTTAAACCTTGAAAATAAAGCCAATTTGCTCTGAAAACTATATAATTGTGAACTTAGAAATTGTAAACAGCCTTTAATGTCAGATGTGTTATATAAATGATACTATTGTCCAAAACCGACATATAAAAACGATAAATAAATGTAAGTACATACATCGCTTTATTTGATTTAGCACTTTGTTGGCTTAGCTTAAGATGAGTTCAACTTAAATAATTTATGACATAAGCTATTTTTAGCATTTATTATCTCTTATGTTTTCGTCCAATAGCAAATCAATATCTTTTAGAGCTTAAGCCTGAGGGTGGGCAGCAATATTTTGCTAAAACCCAATTTTGCCATTTTGATTTCGTTGCAAAACAACTTAAATTTTTGTAGCTCACTTTTCGGGTGCATATAAAATTCATGATGCTTTGCGGAGGAGAAAGTGGCTGGGGTTACAAAATTAAAGAAACCATTTTTATGTCTTGCCACCCACTTGAAGTCGCTTCGTGTCGTCGGCCATTGTCTACGCTTCTTGGCCATGTCCAAACACGTTAGGCCCTCAGATTGGATGGTAAGAGGGATTGGGCTGAAAGCTGTCTGGGCTTCTCTGTCAGTCTGTGTCTTATGCCACTGTCCATTAGACGACGCCATTTGAGGCCTTTAAGATCTCCCTACTTTGGCAGAGTCTTTTTAAATCCGAAAATGGTCTGACTACGGCACGGCTACTTTATTGCGACAACACTTAGACAAATTAAATAATGCGCATACGCAATGTGGTGCCGCTGCTTAATTTTCTTAATAGAAATTATAACACAATATTTGTCATTCACAGGCAATTTAACAAATTCAAGTAGCAGCTCATCGCCTGGGATCTCATTTCTCATTCGCTTCCTTTTCCCCGATTTGGTTTTTCTCTTACATTTTCCTCCCCAGGAATTTTTATGATTATTGACAGCCCCATTTTCTTTGACTTGACTTCGCATTCCGATTGTTTCTGTGCTCTTACATCGTTTTATGCTGCTTTTTTTTTGCCTTTTGTTTAAGGAGAACCTGACTTCTGCGTGGACCATTTTGCTGGTGCTAAGTAAATAAGTTTTATGACATTTCTTTTCTTACTTTTTGTCGCTGTTTCTGATGCCATTCGCCTCGTAAAATCGCAAACGTCTGCGCCTTATACTTGATTGATTTCACTGGGTGGAAGTTGACGCCTGATTTGCGCCACTTACTGATGGTCGAACATAAGGCTCAATAGGGAGAATAATTCATAGGCTGGTTGTCGCAAATCCCCATCTCTAAGCATATGTAATGGCACTAGAGTTCGAGAGGGGACTTAAATAATAATATCACGACCGCATCTGAAAATAATCAATATATATACTTGTGTAAAAAAGTTTTGAAATATTGTTTCTAACTGAGTCTATGAATAATATTCTTAAGATATATTTCCAATTCGTCATATAGAAAATTTGTGTATTCTAAACTTTTAAATGTGCAAAGACAATAAATGTATAATAGAAATTATTTAAATCACCGTTCTTACCAAATTTAATGTTCTTTTTCAAGTTTTTTCAAAAAGTCTTTCTCCTAATATTTTGATAAAATTTCTTATCAAATTAGGCAAATATACTTTGTGTAATTTAATTAAAAATTGGCCATCCAAAGCTGACTTTTCCGGTCCCAAGTCAGCAGGCTAAACATATACACATACCCATTGAGCTTCCAGTAAGCCGAGAATTAATTAATGTTAAGCAGTGAAGAGTGAAGCGGCCATAAGGAAAATATTTGCGCATGTTCTGGCATAATTAAAAGGGTTTGCCAACTGTTCCACGCTGTTTTTTTTTCGGCCAAAAAACCCCAAAGAAAAAGTTAAGAAAAATATGCCTAAGCACTTTCGGTCGAGCTTTGATTTTTTGTATCAAATTAGGAATTATACTTTATAAGGTGATCGACTTGGAAGATTACCTACAAATGTGTTTGCCCTTAGTATTTCAGCCAAAGTCATAGTTACTTTTTACGAAGCATTAAAATATATCGCAAAATGTTGTTCGTACATAATTTGTTTTAACTAAGAACTGGTGAAATTTTTAAATTTTAGTTTGAATTTTAGACAGTTATATAAATTGAATACAACCATTTTTGAATTTTCTTTTTTCCTTTTTAAAATTTACTACATTTCTAAAATTCTTTTAAGAAAAACAAACTGTCTCCTACAATTGGATTGGACTCATATCCCCAAAGAGCGTGAACCCAGCGGAAAACCTGCAAGGACCAGCTCAGCTTTAACGAGTATCCTGCTGGTCCAGCGGTCGTCTGGGAGTCGCAGCCTTATGCTGAGCACTGAGTTTAACAATGGCAAACAAGTAAAACGCTATGAAATCCGCTTAAAGAGCATTTGTATGTAATGGCAAGAAAACGAGAAAAAAAAGAAGACAAAGCAACAGCATCCAGCCTGCATTGGCATGCTCGAGTTTTCCGTTTTTTGTTGTTTTTCTTACACCTCGGCATGCCTCCATTAGGGGATTTTGCATAAGTGACAAGGCCGGCAGAGGCTCCCCGACTTTTCCCGTCTTTAGCCTCCCAACTGCCCCGCCCCCATCAGCATATGTGTCTCCGTGTGAGTGGCTCGGATAAAGCCAGGATAATGCAACACACAGAGACTGGCATAAGGCGCTGGTAACACGACTCGCTTGTCAAATGCTCCCCTGCCGAGGTCGATGGACATGGCCAGATATACGGGTACACTGCGAAAAAAATGGTTTTTATAATATAAAAAATTTCCAGTTAAAAAAAATCTATGTTATTAAATATTTCCTTATGTTCTGTACAATAAAAATAGAAATTGTCATAAATAAATGTTTTATATTTCTATTGTAAACTTAATCTCTACATATATATTTATTGTGGGAACATTATGAAAGATAATCTTTTATTTATTTTTAAATAAATTAGGCAAATAAACGAAGAAACCTCTTAATTTTGCTTGTGTAAAATTGTATACGGTTTTAGTTCTGACAAAGCTCAATTGCATTAAGGCGTTGGGGAAAGTCGCCGCATCAACAGAAACTACTTTAATTGAATGGGGACAGCAGTGGAGTCTCCTTTTGCCAAAGCAACAATTGTTCGGACCGTGGACTTTGATTGGATAAATGATTAAGTAGTTTGCAATTATGGCAACTCAAACTTTTTTTGCGCTGTATCTAATAAGTTTGTGGATT